TTGTATAGCTTTTTGGATTATTCTTTTCTTTAATATAATTTTTAATTATGTTGAAGATATGGTCTCAAATTCTAAAAGTTAGTTTTAGAAGTATTGGCAATTTGATCTATTAATCAGACCAATTGGACATAGTTCAATTGGTCTGATTAATAGGTCAAATTGCCTATACTAAAGTTATTAGAATTTTTTAGATTTATTACTTACAATAATTTTAATTATAGTGTTATCACTTACCAGAGTGGCTACTGCAGCATAAAAAAAACTTGTTCAAAACTAATGCAACAATTATGCTATATACAGCTTTAGATTCTCACAGAAAATTTTATTATTTTGTTAAGAGAAAGTTTTCTGAAGATGAGATTAATCAAACAAAGGCTTTGTATATTATTATTCTAATTATTACCAAAAACAAAAATTATAAAATTAGATAATGATGAATAGTGTTGTTCTTTGGACCAATTGGACTTAGCAATTGGACCAATTGGACCAATTGCTAAATCCAATTGGTCAAAGAATAACACTGATTATGAAAGTTGAATCTATTTTAATTTATCTTTTTTTATTTTATTTTATTTTTTTAATTTACTATTTATAATTAGATTTGAGTTATATTTAAATACTTCAGATCCAATTTCATGATATTTAATTTTTTATCACTATATTTATACAATTTTTTTTTTAGAATGAATGACTTTTAAAAAACAAAATATATGCCAACAACTACTACTAATAATAACTTTTTAAATTATAACAATGCTATAAAACTAACTACACGATCAATGCTAGATACAGACTTTGATAATAATGATGAAAAGTTGGATGAACTTGAACATTACATCTCAGAAAACCTAGCAAATAAAGAAATTTACATATTAGCATGATGGAAGGTATAATAATAAATATAGCATATAAAGTTTTTGTCTTGAAAATGACTTTATGATACATAGTAATTAGTGATTACTATGTATTATAAAGTCATTTTCAAGGCAAAGATCCCATATATCTTGTTAATAAATTAATTTAATATATTTACATAGGCATACCAAATCTAGTATTCTTTTCTTTCTTGTATGGCTTATAATTACTTGACAATTTCCACAACTTCTGTTGCTTTCAAATATTTCTTTTCTGCTGATAAAAATATGATCACTAAAAACAGATGTAATTGGCACCTAAAATTGTAAAGGCAGCATAATACTTTTGATTATAAATGCAAGAACTATTGAAGAGAAAAATTTAAAGCTTTAGTTTTTTTTTTTTAAAAAAAGAAGTATAAGTTTTTTTTTTTTTAAAAAAAAAAAATAATTACTGTATTATTTATACTTTAATAAAAACTAGTATAACTTGTTTATTAGCCTATAATATAAGACTCTATTACATTTATTTTTATTTGATCTAATAAGTTTTAAATTAAAGTTTAAAACTGAATATATATTTTATATACAGTTGTACTTACATATAATCACACTATCAGGACCTACAAAAAGTATTCTTATATAGAACATATACTTATATACTTATAATAAAAAATTATTTTTATATATTTAATAGTAGTTGGTTCAACAAATAAATATGCTTAAAATAGGTAATATGTTTATGATGTATTTATATAAAAGATTCTTATATAAAAATGTGACTGTATTTGTTTTTAAATTTTAATTTTATAACACTTATATGAGATTTTTGCTAACTAAATAACTCTTTAGAACTAGTTCTAAAGGGCTATTTAGTTAGCAAAAATCTTATATATTATATTTAAATAAAATTTATATTATAGATATTTGAACCCAAATATGTTTGTGAACTTCAAATTGAACTTCAAACTGAATTTCAAACTGAACTAAACTTGCTTAAAAGGTTCAAAATCAAACTTAGACCAAACATAGATTTAAAAAAAGTTTAGATCTGGATTTGGTTTGAAAATAGAACCAAACTTAAACTTATCTAAAAGTTCAATTTGTAGAGTTTTTAGATTCAATATTATATATATATATTTTTATATAGAAAACAAAATTACTTAGAGTATAGAAATAGAATTAATAGAAATAGAATTAATAGAGGATGGTGATTCTAGTATAGTTGTTGAGTTGTTATCCTCCAAGTGGCAAGTCTAAGGTTCAAATCCCACTTATGATGAAATTTGGAAATTAATCTGTGTTATGGCAAATTGTCTCTTAATGATCAGTTGGATTTGTATATCTATAACTTTAAGTTACACTATCTTAAATAGGAGCTTAGAGCATCTATGCCAAGTGTAATATTACATATACATAAAGGAATGTTAATAACCAGTGTCATATAAGACTTTAGTACAAACTCATGATAAGACCACCAGGCACAGTAAACTAAAGAACTGAAGAGTCAGAAGCCTACTTGAAAATTCCTGAATAAAAAGATAATATGAACTTTTGATGGTATAGTCAGACTGATGGAAGCCTATAAAACATTCTCAAAGAAATAGCAGATAAACTGAATGTCAAGATGTATAGAGAAGCATATAACCAACCAGGCTGCTAGAATTGCCAGAGGAAAAAGATACATAAGTATACCATACCAGGCTATCTGGATTGGAAATCAGAGGAGTTCTGTTGATCCTGAGTAGTGCTTAGTAAGGGATGATGTCATGATGATAGGTATTAAGGTTCTAGTGAACTTTATAAGGGTAGAAATAGTATAACATAGTAGTTAAACAGGTAACCTTTGTGACTGCAAGTGTTAAGTAACTATAGCATGTTGCATAAAACTAGATCAGCTGTATGTAGGACACAGAAGATTTTAGTAAGTTTTCTGTCAAAGATAAACTAGTTCTAAGGATACTTGAAGGCATCAGGTACTTTGGATGGGTATAGCCTTGAAGATGTCATTGTGAGACATAGTGGACTACATATGCAGAAAGTTTAAATAGGCAAGACCCATAGTTGGCTTGCAGGTATGACACCTAGTGTAAAACCTATATAGTAATGTATAGGCTAACTACTTAAATTAGGCACCAAAAGTGCACATGTGACTAGTTGTAACCTCCAATGTAAGGAAGTTTCTAAAGGCACTTGTGTCCAAATACATGAATAAAAACATCAACTCTCATAGACAGAAACTTTAAAAAAAAAAAAAAAAAAAAAAAAAAAAAAAAAAAAAAATAGAATTAATTAGTAAAATTTTGAAAATCATAATAATTTTCAAAATTTTACTAATTAATTCTATTTTTATACTCTAAGTAATTTTGTTTTCTAAATAAAAATATATATATAAAATATTAAACTTGAACATGTTTATAAACTATAAACTAAACCTAAACTAAACAAAATTTTAAGTTCAGGTTTAGTTCATGTTCATAAATTTTAAATTCAATTCAAGTTTAGATTCAATATTTTGCAAAATTTGAAGTTTAGTTCAGGTTTAATGAACTTGGTTTATGAACCTAAACTGAACTAAACTGAATATAGAAACACTATACTTTACTAAGTCACTATACCTCTAATAAACTAAATATTAAATATATGTAAAAGAATATATAACTAACTAGACTGCTAGATTCACTAAAGAAAAAAAATACAGAAGTATATTATACATACTAATTATTTGAATTAGTAGTCTGATCAGAATTTGTTAATTCTGAATAACAATTAGTAGAGAAAATGTCAAAAAAATAAGTACCAAAATCCTAGTAAATTTTATAAAAGTAAAAATAATATAACTTAATAATTAAATAAATAACTATAATTGAAAGTATTAGATAACTATAACATGTTATATAAAACTAAATCAGTTATATATAATACATAATGAGTTCTAGTAAACCTTTTTTCAAAAATAAAATAATTCTAAGAATACTAATAAGGATTAGAAACTTAAATAAGAATGTGCTCTAAAGATGTTCTTGTAATACAAGTTAGATTGCATATGCAAAAGGTTTAAATAAGCAAAACCTTTAGTTTATTTGCAAATATAATATCTAATATAAAACTTATATACTAATGTATAAACAAACTACTTAAATTAGACATCAAAAATACACATGTGACTAGTTGTAACCTTATATATAAGAGAACCTTTAAAAACACTTATGTCCTATAAACTTGAATAAAAATTGTTTCTCAAAAGCAGGAACTTTAATACAAAAAAAAAAAAAATTAATAAATAATAAAATATATATTCAAGAAACTAAACTAAAAATATACTAATAATAATAATTTAAAATTTCCATCCTATAACAATATGTTTGTTAAAAAAAAAAAGTTTTTAAAAGTTTTACTAAGTCACATAAATTATTAAGTAAAATACTCAATAGTGTTAATTGTTAATTATTTTGCAGTTAATTGGTAAATTGCATTTTATACAAATATGTCAATGCATAATAAGTACGTATTGATGATAGGATTGATGGTAAAAAAGCCCACTTTCAAAAGCATATTATCGTATTATCCCACGTTAAGCTACTCGAAACAACACCTCGGGGCGTTATTTTGGAATAATACGATAGCAAATAATTAAAAATTATACTTTCTCAATAAAAAAATACTATAGGAAATTCGTTGTAATTAAAAAAATTGTCTAAAAAATTAAATCCGTAATACTACGCATCGAATAACTTAATTGTAATCATGATAATTACAATAAAATATACATATACGCTTCCCTAATAAAAAATATAACTAACGAATTAGCATATATTTATTACAAATATATAATGTATATATATTTTTAACAAAAAAAAGCACGATATATTTCAATATAAAAAAACCATATATTTTTTTATATTACAAGTTATTTTTCGCCGTTTTTTTTTTTTTTTTTTTTTGTAACTGCCGATTTTCAAAGTCTTTTTGGCCCCTCGAAATAAAACCCATAGCCACCACAGTATATTCACTATAAATTTTTTTAAAGTAAAATCCAAATGAGAAAAATGTCATTCAAACGCGATATCCAATTTTAACTATACTAATATAAAGCTCCATAGAGTTTGCACTAAGATAAATGATCATTTAAAAAAGCTATATACACTATTGTTTTCCGGATGATAATACACCCCTAGTAACATCACCTAAAACTGAGACACCCTTATAAAGAAATTCATCAAATTCATCATCCCCAACCTGAGTTGTTGGCTGATTTCCAATATGTAATTTTTCGAGATCATAGGCATTTGTTTGTCCAAAATCATCTAATGTTGTTGGTGATCCTATGAGTGTTGAACGTCTTGATGGATTAAAAGCAGGAGAATTCAAAGCCGATGTTGATAATGGTGTCATTGTCGAAGTAGTCGGTGTACCAGATGCTGAAGATGATTGAGAACCATTATCATAAACGCTGCTTATGGACTGTTTTCTTGACTTTCCAGCTGTAATCTTTAAGAGTGATGGCCTACGCTTTTGAGCAGACTTTACAGGTATTTGGATTTCTTCAACTTGTGGTGGTTTAAGAGATGCTGAATTTAAAGAGGACTGTCGTGAATTGTTTGTTGAATCAGATTTGTAGCGTGGTGATGATGGCGAAGAATTTTCAGCAGATTCATCTGTAACAGTCTGTAATATAGGAGACGTGACATTGCCACCAGAAGCTTGTAAAGCCAAGTCAATATCATCATCAAAAATGGCTGATCTACGATCTACAAAAGTAGCCACTTTTCCAGAAGCGATATCATCCATGTTACCAGCAGAAAGGCGGCGGATATCTGCGCGATTGTTACGCGCTTCAAAATAACTAGTGTCCTGTTCGTCCTCAGGGTTAGGCACAAAAGGAGCAGGTTGTTGGCGAATATGTTCCCAATCAATTCCATTAAAAAAAGGATGAGCTTTGATCTCTTCAACAGTAGGTCGTTTCTCAGGATCTTGATTTAATAGTCTTGAAATCAGGTCTTTGGCTTCTGATGATAAAAATCCTTCGGGTGGCCATTGAATAACATGGTTTAAAATGTTTCTAAAGATTTCTTGCGGCGTACCATCATTGAAAGGTGGATACCCAACTAAAAATTCAAAAAGACATACACCAAGAGACCACCAGTCTACTGCAGTTCCATGTCCAATACCAAGAAGTAACTCTGGTGCGAGGTAATCTGGTGTACCTAATAAAGCTTTAGAACTTTGACGACTCGGTTTCTTTGATTGCTTAGCTGATGACTGTGGTTCAAAACCAAGATTGATATAACCAGAAAGTTTTGGATTTTCATTAGAGAAAATTGCAGAGACCGGACGAGGATGTCCAGCGTTGGCACGTGAATCAACGCTACCAGTTCTTAAGGTCCTTTGGTAAGATTTCTTATCATCATCATTGTTCGTTTCTCGCTCTTCTTTTATGAACGCCAAGCTACTTTTCTCGGGAATTGAAATCCTGGACAAACCAAAATCAGTAAGTTTTATATGCCCTTCGGATGTAATAAGCATATTATCGGGTTTCAGGTCCCTATGAGTTATGCCATTGCTGTGAAGGTACTCGAGCGCTAATACAACTTCCGCTGTATACATACGCGCCATATCCTCTTCAAAGCGTTCAAAACATTGAAGAAGGGACGATAAATCACCCCCGATTAGATATTCCATTACCTGAAAGAAACAAAATAAAACACTTTCAGAATATATTCTGTGTATATATGATGGGGTTCGATCATTTATTTATTGGTAATACTTACTAAATATAGGTAATCCTGACTTTGAAACGCATAAAATAGTTTAACTACGAATGGAGTTCTTGATAGACTAAGAACTCTTCTCTCCGCTAGTACATGATTTACCATATTCTTGCGCACCATATCTACCTTCTTTAAGATTTTTATAGCATAAAGGTCGCCTGTTGTCTTTTTCCTTGCAAGATATACTTTGCCAAAAGCGCCTCGACTAATAGGTTTAATAATTTCAAAATCTTGTATACTTGGAACTTTAGTTTTAGAAACCTATTATGAATAAGTATTTAATATTTTTAATACTAGTAAATTACTGTAAACAATTCATACCAAATATAAATTGCTTATTCGTAAATATTTACTACTTTATCTCCATTGGCAACTGCAGTGTTTGAAGAGTTGATAGTTTCCTTACTTGATATGCTGCTTGAACGGCTATTACCTCCACGTAATACAGCAGTGAATAATGAGATTAATTTTTTTCCGCCACGTGGAGGCGGCTGAGCGTTATCAGAATCTATAAATGAACATGTAAAAATATATGCATACATAAATCGTTGACAAAATTTATTTGCACATTTTTAAATATTAATTCATTCGACTGATGAATTCAAGCCAGTAGTCGGTGCTGTAGGAAAGCTGGAATAAAAATTATTTGATTAAAAAAAAACAAGCTAAACCATACCAATTTCTGAAAGAGGTTTATTATTTGATATAGATCCGGTGCTATCTTGTCGTTTATGAGAAGGTACACTATCCTTATGACGATAAGAGCTTGATTTTGACAAAAAGCTCGTTGACGCTTTATTTGATGCAGAAGTCGATAATACCCGACTCGATATTGATTGTTTTCTGCCTATTTTTTTTTGAGGTATTTGCAATGCTGCAGTTTCAATTGCTGATGTTGTAGCAATACTGGCAGCAGCAGCAGCAACAGTAGCAGCAACAAACCCGGTATTTGGAATTGTGTTAATTGACCGTAATCTCTGAAAGTATGCACGTAGTGTCTCCTGCTTCTCCTCAACCTAAAGGATTCATAAAGATATTTATGGCTAATCGGTAAAAATCTATATTGGTATAAGGACAAGAGTAAAACATACCACATGAAGCAATCTCTTTCCGTAAGTCAATATATCCTCATCTCTAATGGTATTTTTTTCCATTTCATCGACCAAACGGCCCAATTTTGTTGCATATTTTTCTATTTTTCTAAGAGCTTCCCGATGATTTAATGATTCTTTGATTTCTGCTGCCCTGAGTAACGTTATTTTATTAAATGAGTAAATGGACAATGGCAGCACGCTAAATAATAATATATATATATCATTACTTTAATCCAGTTTCTTCCATCAATTCTGAATCCTTGATAATATAATAATCCTGGTAAGGGGTATTTCTTTCCTAAACATAAACACATGAAAATATATTGTGAAAACTTGCGTTAAAATAATCCATATGCGAATTAACTAATATATCGAGAATTAATATCTTACCATGATTTCTGCCTTTCTCTTTGTGACATCCCCAATCAACCTGCGAAGCCTGCCATCACATTCCTGTAATTTAATCGCATATTCTGTAGTGATAGTACATGTTTCTGAATGTGCTACTATTTCATAACTAGGAATCATTTCCTCACAAATACGACATAGTATATAATCATGCGGAATTGGAAAATTTGGAGTTATGGTTAAACCATGACCACTAACAAAATTATTATCGCTTTTTGTTGACATTAATGAATTACTACGACCAGACAATGCGTGTGAATGTGAATCAAAAGAATAAGATCGTTGGCTTTCCAATGGTTGGGGACGTGGTAAATGTGCATTACGAATAGGACTTGGCTGAATCATTGATCGAGTTGGAGACCCAGTTGGCGATACACTAGTCGATGATGTGGGACTATTAAACGCATTTTTTAGTGATTTGAAAAAGTTCATCATTGGCTTCGACTGTAAGAATTAATATTAGTTGATAATATAAAATAAAGAAATTCTATACTAAGAGATATTATTTAAGATGATATACTTTTTTAGATTTTTTTTTAGAATCTTGATCCACATCTTCTTGCTGTTTCTTCAACCTTATGCTAAAATCAATTTCCCTATTCATTTCCTCATGAAGCATTTGATCTACTTGCTTCTTTGTTAAATTATTCCAAGTAATAATATTGTCATCCATACTTGAACGAGGAGGAGGAACGTACATTATCGGACTTTCGAATATCGCTTCATTCGCAGAAGCACGACGCTGTTCGAGAGTAATTTTTGAAGTTTGCGTTATTGGGGGCATAGTAACATGACGAGCTAATGGAGACGAATACACATGTGGTGATAAAAGTGCATTTGATTTATTATTTCCATCGATTTCTAAGGAAGACTTGCGCCTTTCTTGTAATAATAGAGGTGGAGAATATGAAGATGGAGTTGTAGGAAGCAATGGTGATGGCAATGGTGAAGACCACTCTGAACCAGTTGTCAACAAATCATTTACTCCGCCATCACCCGAAAAGTCATGATGCGTTTCAGCAAAAGGACAATTCTAAATCCAAATTAATTTAGATAACATAATAGCAGTAATAACTTTACGGAATTTACGGAACTAACAATCGAATGATATAATTACCACTGCTTCAACAGCCCTTGTAACATCAGCGAAGACGTAAATTAATTTCGTTAACAAGTCTTCGGCATCAGCATTACCAACAGCCATCTTTCTTTGTGATTCCATTAATTCCTGAAGTTCTTTCATTATCTCAACAGCAACGTTAAGATGTAATAAATCATGAACAGCAGTCTTTAGAATGCGTCGAGCAATACGATCAATGCGTGTTAACAAGAGTGTGTGAGATGAAGCTAATGCATGTAAAGGCAAGAGAATGTATTAGTGACGTTGATTCTTTTTGGTTTTCATACATAAGAAAAAAAAATCAAATTGTCACCATCGCTCCACACAACACCACTCATGTAAATTTATAGCTTACTTAAAATTGAAGAAGGCCAACTGTTCGAATGGACCATTCTTCTCTTAAAATTTTTACTCTTTTTTACAATGTTTTTTGGTTTCGTATTACCATATAATGACACAGACTCCGTTTTATGTGAGATTTTATCTTTTGAAAGCACATCATTCTTTATTGATTTAATTTCAGGTAATAGCTTATTTAAAGGAGAAGCCTCATCATCTGTATCACTAATGACCGGGCTAGCCGTCGTTTTACTTAATGTTCTCTGACTACTATTTTTGTGAATATTGATTGGAATATGTTGTACATCATCATCATCACTCCAGCCATCATATAAAAACTCGCTTAAAAGTTCTTGATACTGATGAGACTTATACCAATTATCTAAAATCACCATAATTCTTTTATCAGCACGACTTTTTGCCTCTTCCAAATCTTTTAAAAGTTTTCGTTTAACTTTTGGAAAAGTAAATTCTGGAGAACCATCATCAATAATATGCAAATTACTAAGACGATTTTGTTCAGCATCAATTGATAAATCAGGAAAAAATCTTTTTTGGAATGAAGGTTTTCGTTTTACAGAAGAAGAAAGAACATATGCAGATTGTTCATCATTTGTGACATATGCATCAGAATCAGTTTCTAAGGAGTCAGTCTCAGAATCAGAATATAGAGAAGGAGTATTCGAAGGATAAGTTTCCGACTTTAAACCCAATAATCGTTTAAGTTGCGAGCTAGCACCACTCTGACGACGCTGGATCGGTTGATGAGTCAATTTTTGTTGAGACGATGTAGAAGTACTTGATTGGGTAGAAGGAACAAATGGCACATTTTGTTGTTGTAGTGGCGTTACCGATTTTTGCTGTTGTTGCTGTTGTGGGTGAGATAGTACAAATAAAGAGTGGTGTCTTTCTCTTTGGTAAAAAGGAAAAGAAGTCAGATATGGAGAGTTAGAGGAACTACTACTGGAATTTGAACCAGAGCTAGTTCCAATAAATGGAAGGCCAGAAGTCGAATAGTCGAAGTCTTCAAAAGACGATCTGTTATTTGCATCGCCCTCGATAGTCGAGAGTACATTTGAAGGATAAAGATTCGATAAAGCCCGTGGTTTGATTGATAAGCTTTTCTTAAGTAAACTTTGACTCGAAGAAGTAGAAAGACTTCGACGATTTCTCGCTTTTACAAGTTTACCTTCTACACCAGTTGCTTGCTGTGTGGTAGGAACCGTTAAAGAGGAAGTTGGAATTTGAAAGGTTACAGGGGTTGTAGGAAGAGAAGCTGGTAGACTTTTTGGAGAAGTATGTTCGCCAGGCAGAGAACGCGAAATAAACGGTCTCCGAGATTCGTTCATATTATTCAATTTACTGAAGTACACAGTATCTCCTGGACTCCTGATGCACTATTTTACGATTAAAAGAGAAAAGAAAGTCTATAACAGGAGAAATTTTGGAGGGAAGTCTTGAAAAGAAGAGAATTTTTGGGCAATTACAGTACATATAAGGTTTTATGGGGTTAAAAAAGTGGGCGAAAAAAAAAATAGTGGCTGGGATGACATAAAAATAATACTTTGGGGTGATAAAAAAGGGGGTATGGTAATGTTAATATATGTGCCGATCTGCAATATCTGCAACTTTTTACCTCCTAATAAAAGGTTCTATATATTTTATTTTCTTTTTTATCTTGGTTCAGCCTATCGTTATGTGCCACACCAATTCAAATAGCATCTTCGCATATTCAATTTCAAATTTTATTCGTTATGATATAAATAATATACCTTTTTTTATTTAATAAAAAAACATTTTATATGATCTATGATTTATAACTACACATTATGTTATGATTGTAAAATCGATCCTTATGTATGGATTACACTAGTTGATCGGGGCTGATCCATAAGGCGTAGCTCAAATGCATGCTGCTATCGTTATTGTTTCTTAAACTTATCTGGTCCGCGGTGGATATACTCATGATTTCACAGGGGATATGCAGCATGAAGAAAGAGGTTTCCATGCAGACTTTATCGGGTACTTATTTGTGACCGTAGAAGAAAATATCCTTTGCTCCGATGCTAAACAGAAATTACGAATCAGTTTATATCTATTCATCATCACATATAATGACATAACATAAAAGGCTCTGTTTGCTTAACATTAGGGTAATCTGTTTTTTTGTTTTTTTTTTGCGATTTTCAGATCTGATTGACAGTTTTTTCGTGGGGTAACTATGTAATATCATGTAAGTGCCGTCAAGGGAAAACCTGTCAATTATATTTTGTACCGGACATAGTCACTAATAAATCAAATAAATTGAGTCGATGACAGGTTTTCCCTTGACGGCACTTATGTGTAGTGTTCTGCAAGGATCGAAAATACGTTTCCGAGGCGAACAAAAAGGCACATTTATGTTAGAGGTTGTGCGTATTTTAGGGTTAAAAAAGGCCGCCTAATAGTAAAATTGCGGGAAAAAATTTTTTTATTAATGGTTTTGCGAAGTATTTCACGTTGCACCGGATCCTGATTTTTTTAATTGGCAGATTGATATATGGAAAATCACGTGACTAAAAAGCGGAAAGTCTCCGGACACTAGGATGTCAAGAGTTATGCGATCGATGCGATGTGATAACTTTTACGATTTGGCCGAAGTCAATTATGCGATGGGTGCGATATAATTCTAAATTTATGCGACACTGATCAAAAATTTCGTAATCTAAATTGCAATTATTTCAAAATACTAATTTATCAATCACAATACAGCACGTAATTTCTTATTTTCATACCCTATGATTCATGCCCAGCCAATCAGATAATAGCATGGCAGTCACGTGACAACGAAATATAAACGAACACCTACCAGTTACGTCATTTTGCACCTACCAAATGTTAAGATTAAGGCTATGTTAGTCTTGATTGGTTGATTTTATATTTGGTAGGTGCAAAAATCACGTGAATGGTTGATGTCCGGAGATTTTTCCGCCGAAAATTCCACGGACAGAGCTTAGGAACATAACAAATTAAGTGAATAGTTAGTTATTGTTTAGAATAAAATAAAGGTTCTGTTCAGTTTTATCCGTAAACTGTGCGTAAAATTTTCATACCGTAAAAAAGTTGTCACGTGATAATTGACAGTAACTCAGGTTTCGCTTTAGTGTAACATAACACGATCAGGAAGATCAAAGCAAAACAAAATTTTTAAGTAATTTTATTATATTAAAAACACTAATTATAGGACAATAAGAATAGTTGTACGTATTAGTCAATCAAGTTGTTTAATAAATTATATAATATAAAACAATTATTATAAACATAGAACATTATTTAAAACTATCTGTGTTTACACAATTTTGATAAAACAATGATTATTTTTTTTTTAGTTTAAGACTTTGCTTATATTTTTATTAATAATTTTAGTTGTACATATTAATATACTAAATATTAAGATATACTAACATTGTAAAATACAAAATAAAAACTACATGCAAGAATTAAAGCTTAGATGACTTTATCTGTAATTTAAACTTACTAAAATAATTAAAGTTTATTTAGATTTGTGATGTTAGAATATATATAATTATAAGATATATTAATTTTCCTAATATGTAGCTTGCTTAATTAGTAAAAAATATTAGAAAATAAATATAATTAATTTGCTATTTTATATAAGTATATATAGTTTATATATGATCTTTTATAATATTTAGTTTGTTATATTTGTTGTAAAATATTATAACTATTAGAAATTTAAAAAAATCTATATTATATTATAAAAAATTTGTGTATAACATTTAGCTGCAAGGTAATATTTAGATTATTCTATATAAATAAATACAATTTTTTTTTTCCTTAAGCAGTCATGCTAGTACTTTATTAATATTTTGAAATTACATTTGCAATTATATAAATATCCTTAACAACTAAGCCTAGCATTACCTGGCCACCCTAATGGTACCTAAATGCAATCTGCTGCATTACTTCAAGCAGAAGTAAGCCACTTGTCTGACTACTTAAAGTCCATAATAAAAAGGTTTTCTCTTTTTCATAACAAGCTCTAAAACTGTTTTCTGTACTTCTTTTCCAATTTGGCTTTCTTTTTCTTTCACTTTCTCTTTTCTTTCTTCAATTACTTACTGATTTGGTTTTTCTTTTTTCCTTGATACTTTCTTCTTTTCTTTTTTTCTTCTTTTTATTCTACCTGTTATTCCTTCATTTTTCTTCCATTCATTGACCTTCTCACATCGAATTCTCTATACTTGTTCATAAAATATATCCCAGGCCATTCTTGCTACTATTTTCATAAACTGCTATCTTGACTTTGTACTTAGGAGCTACCTTAACCTGTCTTGTGTTTCTTTTGGAATAAGACCTTTAATTAATGCTTCTCTTATTTTGATTTCTTTTGCTTCTGTTTTTCCAAAAAGCACTGTATATAATATATATAGAGGGACCCAAACTTTTTCTTTTTCTTTTAACCCTTTCCAGGCTGTTGTGAGGGTCACTTTTCGAATTCTTTTCTACAGGTTCTTTTGTCCCTTACATGCTGCTAGATGTGTTTGTGTTTCTTTTGTTTTGTTTTGGCACATTTGACATTTTGTTGTTGTATATATCTCTGGCCTTCTTTTGTTTAGTTTTTCTAAGGTTGGAAGCTTGTCTATTATGCACTTTATGAATGCACTTCTTCTGGTACTACTTCTTCTTGTTGTGCAGTATACTCCTTTAGATATCTTTAGCCTATTCCAAAAGTATGTCCAATCATATATTGTAACTTCTGTTTCTGGTTCTAATTCTCTAATTACTTTTATTTCTTTCTATTCTGCTCCTAATCTTATATTCGTTATCAATTTGCATAGTAGTCTTGCTGGTATGTCAGTATGTTTGTTTTCCCACTCTAAGCAGTACTTTATCTCTTCGCAGCTGACTTTTTCAATCTGTATTATCTTCCTACTTGTTGCACCTTTTTTTGCTAGACTAATAGCTTTATTATTCTATCAATCTTTATTATGACTCTTAACTTTAACCAACTCTATCTAAATATTCTTTGTCCTAATAAGCTCTCTAATTTTTATTATCCATATTGTGTTCTTCTTTTTAAGAATTTTATCTTTGCAAACTTGTTCTAAACCTCTACTAATGTTTCTTATTGCTGCATTGCTATCTGTATATATTTCTATTTG